AGGCCATAAACAGAGAGCTGGATCAGGAAGTAGAGCAGCTGGGACAGAAACTAATGCCCATATAAGATGCCAGTACTGGCAGGCTAAGGATTAGCCTTTTATCTACCTTTTTGGCCCCAAGGCCAAATGGGTTTAAGATTCATTTATTTTTATTGGAAAGGCGGATATACAGAGAGGAGGAGAGACGGAGAGGAAGATCTTCCATCCAATGATTCACTCCCCAGGTGACCGCAACTGCTAGAGCTGAGCCATTCTGAAGCCAGGAGCCAGGAGCTTCCTCCAGGACTCCCACGTAGGTGCAGGCCCCCAAGGCTTTGGGCCGTCCTCAACTGCTTTCCGAGGCCCCAAGCAGGGAGCTGGATGGGAAACAGGGCCACCTTCCAGGGATTAGAACCAGCAACCATATGGGATCCCGGTGCGTTCAAGGAGAGGACTTTAACCACTACACTATTGCGCCAGGCCGGCCAAATGGTTTTAAACGGTTTTGTGCTGTGTTAGAGAAAAATGCACAATGTATGGGAGCACATACTGGAAATTACTTCTTAGGGAAGTAGTACGTTGGCTGAGATTTAAAGCTGGTAGTAGTTCCAGAGGGGGCAAAAGGGAAAGAGAAAGCATTCAAGCAGAGTGGGTAGCAAGTAGTAGTCCTTCATTGCTGTAGTGTGCTTAGGAAAGGTGTAGCAAGAGAAGAAACCAGTGCATGTGGCAAGAGAAAAAGCGGGACTAAGAAAACCTGTGTTTGGACTTTACCCTGAATGTCCTCGGGAGTGTTGAATGTTATTAAATAAGAGGCTATCATAATTACATTTGCATTCGGAACCAAACTCTCTGCCCATATATGGAGAAGACTAGCGAAGAAGTAACTGTAGTAGGCAAAGACTTTGTGACCCAGCTTTTATCAGTGAAGCTAGAGGCCAGGGACATCCTTCTTGTCATACAAGATCCAGCTTGTGTAGCTTTTGATGATAGATTAGATGTGAGTTAGGAGGGAGGTAATTAATTAACGTTTATGGAATCCTTTCTAATTTCCAAGGCTGAGTTTCCTCATTCTCACTGAAGTCCTTTAGGTTTTGTAATGTTGTTGGCCTCATTGTGCAGATCAGGCAACTGAGATGCAGAAAGTTTGGTAACGGCTCATGTTCATAGAGCCAGTGAGTGCTGTTTCTGAGCTTTCCCATCTGACTTCTCCCAAGACCATTCTTATCCATATACTATATTGCTTACCTCCAGGTCACCTAGTGGATCAGTTAGGTGACTGGAGGTAGTGCTGGGTCACGGAAGCAGCGGAAATGGGGTGTGGGAAAGCAATGTTAGAGAAGATGAGGAGTCCTGTCTGGGATGTTTTCATTTTGAGATACTTCAGGAACATCCAGTGTAGATATTTGGTTGGAAGCTGGATTGTTAAATTCTGTATGCCAGAAGTATGGCCTAAGCTGGAGGTACTGCTTTGGGAATATTTAGTCTGTAGGTGCTTGTCATGGTACCACTGATCATGTGGGTTGGGTATTGCTATGACAACAGCTTGGGAGTAAACATGACCACCTGCAGACTGCATGTGTGGTGGAGAATAAGAGAAGGTGTTTCTTCCTGTCCTCTTGGGTGTATATTCTCTCCTTTACATCTCAAATCTCACCCTCTCTTCCTTGTTGGGTTAGTAGTAAAATGAGATTAGCTGTAACTAGGGCTGTGTTGTCCCCTTCTGCTAAAGCCAGAGAGCAGAACTTTAGCTTATTTAGGAGTGAGAGCTAATAAGTACAAATAAAATGCAGAATAAAGGAGACCAGAATTCCCTGAAGCTAAATTAGTTAACTTATAAGACCAGAATTCCCTGAAGCTAAATTAGTTAACTTATAAGATGTCAACAATCCTGACAGTCTTTAGAAACCCTTGTATTGTGTCTCCATGATTAAAACTGCTCTCAGCCTGTAGCATCTCCTCTTTGAAGAATGTTTTCTTTATTTATTGTTTTGTTATTTGTTGAGATTCATTTTGAAAGAGAGAGAGGGAGAGGCAGAGAGGGATCTTCTAGCCACTGGTTCACTCCCCACATGGCCACAATATCCAGGGCCGGTGCAGTTGGGGCAGTTCAAACCAGGAGCCAGGAGCTACATTAGAGCCTCCCATGTGGGTACAGGGTCCCAACACTTGGGCCGTATGCTGCTGCTTTTCTCAGGTCTTCAGTAGGGAGTTGAATCGGAAATGGAGCAGTCACCATTCAAACTGTTGTCCATATAGGAATTTAGCTACTGCACCACAATGCCTACACCAATAAAAATTTTTCTTTAGATTTATTTATTTTTATTAGAAAGATTTACAGAGAGAAGAGACAGAGAGAAAGGCCTTCCTTGTGCTGGTTCACTCCCTAAGTGGCTACAATGACCGGTCAGGAGCCAGGAGCTTCTTCTGGGTCTCCAACATGGGTTCAGGGTCCCAAGGCTTTGGGCCATTCTCAAATGCTTTCCCAGGCCACAAGCAGGGAGTTGGATGGGAAGTAGGGCAGCTGGGACATGAACTGGTTCCCATATGGGATCCCGGCACTTAAAAGGTTACAATTTGGCCACTGAGCCATCGTACTGAACCCTAAAGATTGTTTTTTTATGAGAAAACTGCATGGTATATTCAAGCATGGAAATTTATCATATTCTTTGCCTTTCTGCCTAATTTTAAAAAGTGTGGGTTATATGTGAGACTGTCCCTGGCCAGTACTCAAAATGGAACAGGCCAGCAATTCAGATCTCGGCTGGTGGTGTCATACTACAAGGGAGGCGATCTCGGCCACTTCGAGATGGCGCTGTGATCTGCTGCTTTTGTGAGTGAAGCATAGGCCTGGGCACTTTTTCCAGCCCGTGGAATAGAAAGGTTTATTTGGTTCTCATTCTCGTTTCTTTTCTCTGATTCAATGTAATACAACATTCTCTGGCTAGTGATAGCCCTGAGCAACCAGAGCTTGCACATAGAAAAGAACAGACAGAGATTGCATTGTCTGTTTGTGAGCTGCCTCTCTTCCACGGGGAGGACAGTGTGTTGCTCAGATATTCTTTGAAGAAATGGTCATTTTTGGCAGCTTCCAGGGAGTGAAGTTCATTCAGCTCTAGTTACCTAAACGAAAAAATGCTTAAAGGAGTCTCTTCAACTCCAGGCTTTGATTGAAATTGTACTGTCTGGTTTTTGTGAGATCACTTCCAGTGACAAGTACTTTAGGTAGGTGTGTATTGGTAACATTTTAGACTTATGTGTATTGTATGGGCAACTTCCAGAACCCTTGTTCCTCTGTGGTTTTGGAACACTACACCTCTTGTTCACTAAGTGCATTAATATTCATTGACTACATAGTGTCTGCCAGCTGATGGTCTAGATGGTAGAGTCTCACGTGTAGCAAGTTAAATAAGGTCCTGTCGCTTGGACCCTCACTCTCTTTAGGATGTTAGATGTTGAGTGGGGCTAATTCTGATAAGATAGTACTTGTGAACGCTCTTTGGAACAGGTCTGCTTCCTTACTGCATGTCCACATCCTCCCAATCTTCATTTGAATCCTGGCTCGAATGGCAGCTTCTCCAGGTCTACCTGATCCTTCCATGTGTCACACTCCTCGCCTCTCTGAAATCCCATGCCACTCTATTTTATAGTTGTTAGTGCACATGTTAGATTCCCGCTATTAGATTAGACCTTATTGAGGACAGGGTAAGTATCCTGCTCATCTTGGTTTGGGGCATTCCACATTCTGAAGATACAGAAGGAAACATCACGTCATACTCAGACTGTTTCTCCTAAACCCTGCCATAGCATAGACCCCCTTCGGATAGCAGATGTGCCGAGGGTTTCCCACTCAGGCCCAGCAAGCAGTCAGTTCTGCAGCAGACACCACCAGCTCAGTGTCCTCCAACTCTGTTCTGACCTTGTCCACCTGGAGTTTGTGTCCAGTCCTACTATGTCCCTAAGATCGCTCTCTCCACTCTACAGTTTAGATACCAAGCACAGTCCCCGGGCAGGTTTTCCTGTGCATTTAATCAACTGGCCATAACCCCTCTTCAGGTTCCATTAGTTTGCCTGGGCTGCTTGCAGACCTCAGGGAAGTCTTTACATTGCAGGGTGTTATAAAGGACATTGCAGAGATTACAAATGAAGGGATGCATAGGTGCTGGAGAAAGGACGTGGTGCTTCTATGCTCCCTGTGGGCATGCCAAGCTTCGGGAGCTCCATGTGTTCGGCTTTCCAGAAGCTAATGCCTGGCCTTTGGGGATTTCATAGACTTTGTTGCACAGCGGTTGCTAATAGACTGGATAGGGGAAACCCAGCAAAGAGCTGTCCATTCACATCTCCCTAGACTGTGCAGCGTTCCTTCCTTGTGAGCTGGAAGTGAGTACAAAGCATCTTAAGACCTACTGTTGGCATCGTGGTTAGTGAAAGACATAGGAAGATGAGTTTCTGTGACCAGCCTCGGGGAGGGGGTTACAAACCAAGAACTTGTGGGCAAAACCCCAAATATGTAATCATACACATTCAGGCAGATGGATGTGGGAGGGTCAAAACATGCGAACACTTAATCCCGGGCCAGAAGGCTTTGAGTCCTGCCTTCACTAGCCTTGTGACTGTAGCAAGTCATTCAGTTTCTCGAAATTAAGTTTTTTACTCTGAGTGTAGTAGTAATCTTTCCATTTCTAAATATTTCCATTTGTAACTGAGGGAATTCATATATGTTGACTGTACTTTGTAAATCCTTAATTCTTACGCAGATATTTGTTAGTATTGTAGTAAGTATTCGGTAAGTATCTGGATGAATAAGCATTGGCTTTTGTGAACATCTTTTCCTGAGTAGTCTATCTCTTAATGAAGTGTAGGTGATTTAACAAATATGCTACATGATGACTTTTCCATCTTGTTATTAAATTATTCAGTTCCTCAGATTTGGCATTCCCTTCACTCCAAGGAGTGGTCTGTTTTTTCTTGGTAGACACTTTGTAATATTAAAATAACAAATGGTATTTATTGTGTTCCAACAGGTGGTACATTATGGCTGACATGCAAAACCTGGTAGAAAGACTGGAGCGGGTAGTGGGCCGCTTGGAGGCAGTGTCCCACACCTCTGACATGCACCGAGGGTACGGAGACAGTCCTTCCAAAGGTAAACAGCCCCGAGCCCAACACAAGGCTTTGTTGGAGTGTCTTCGCCCAGAATTTTTATATCGATGTTAATTCTTTGGAGTTCATTTCTCAAAGCATTTAACCTGGAAAGATCATGCCTAGTAATTTATATTGCTAAAACAGACAAGGGAGGAAGTGACTTGTACAGGGAGGCCTGCGGTTAAGTTATTTTAACATGAGAACTTCCTGCTTATGTGATGTTTCCTGTTCTTTCTTTGGCGGATGACTCCAGTGTTAAGTCAAATGACAAGTGATACTAAAGTTTCCTGTCTCCAAATGATTGTCAGATCAGCCATTTTGCACATGTACCATGGAATGTCAGAGCTAAATGGATTCTTGTAGAGTCGTTTTGTTTATCTTCATTTTATAAAGAAAATTAAGGTGAGAGAGGAAAAGTTCCTTACTGGGGCACACTGCCATTCCTGGTGGCATTAAACTAAGAAGCCAGGTTTTGGGCCCCCTGTTTCCACATGCTATTTCCTGTATTACCTGGCGTCCTACTTTGACCTGTGAGTGCACTATAAGGAAGCAACCTTTGATGTGTGACTGATTGTTCATGATGTGTCTGTCTTCACCAGGGGCAGCTCTGTACGTGCAGGCATTTGACTCACTGCTTGCTGGCCCTGTGACAGAATACTTGAAGATCAGTAAAGAGATTGGAGGAGATGTGCAGAAACACGTAAGGATGCCTTACCTTTCCTCTGTTCTTCTCTGTGACCTGGTAGCTTCCTCTTCAGAACCCACTTGGTGTAAGAACCCCTGGAGAGGCTTCCGGCTCCTTCTCTGCCTTCTCGGAGGTGGTCAATCCTGGCAGGGAAGGATCCCTCGTTTTTCTAAGTCCCCTACATTTATGACATATTCTGTGTGGGTTCTCTTAGACAGAAAGCTTACTTGGTACATAAAATAGGGCTCTGTTCATCTCTGTAGTGAGGAACATGTCACCAGTCTGTTTCTGACATGTTACATAACCAGACACACGGTGGGTTATTCAAAGGAATCATTATCGTGAGTTAGCATTTATAGAACTGTGCTCGATAGTTATTAGTTATGCTAATAGGAGTTATTCTCACACTTTAGCCCACAGCAGGCATGTGAAGCAGGCATTGACAGGGACCTCTCCACCCACCTCCCTTCAGGCTCTGGCTCCTACGCTGTCGTCATCACCCACCACCACTCCCCACTCACCTCTCTCTTTGGGACCCAGAGCCTTCCTGCTGCTCTGCTGAAGATCCTAATTAGGATCTTCCTCACCTAACCCCGTTCAAGACTGATTACTTGGCCTTTGGAAAATCTATTTTTGAGTTTCTCATCTACCATCTGTGGGCAGAGGTGTTAGCACTAAGGAGTGGAACTGGGACTTTGATAAAATCTAACTGAGGCCTGGCATTTTTACTTTGCACAGTTCTGTAACATTTTTTCACAAAATTTTAACATGCTTCACTTTATATATATAAAATATATATATATATATATATATATATATACTTAAAAGTGACTTATTTAATTTGGAAGGCTGAGTTCTAGAAAGAAAGCTCTTTTATCTGCTGGTTTACCTTCCCAAATGGCTGTGGCACCTGGAGATGGGCCAGGCTTAAGCCAGAAGCTTCACTCAGGTCTCCCATGTGGGTGCAGGAGTTCAGGTCCTTGGGCCATCTTTTGCTGCCTTCCCAGGTATATTAGCAGGAGCTGGATCAGAAGTGGAGTAAGTAAGGCATGGACTGGTGCCTGTATTTTAATAGTTTTTACAGCCTGTTGCTTCTTCAACTTTATTGATTCTGACCCTTGACAAGAAATAACATTTGTATCTGAGAGATATTAGACAAAACCATGCCTGTACTATTTAAACTATTTATCTGAAAATTATTTGAAACCGGTATTCTGTACTTATACTTTTCCTATTCTTTTACATGTAACAGTGCTACTTTTGGCTCATTGCATTGATTTAGCCAAACAAAAATAGTTTTAATTTAAACAAGTAAATACTTTGAAAATTTGAAGCCTAAATATAGGCCTTTACCTTTGCTCCTACATTCTTTTGAGGCTTTTTTTTTTTTTTTTTTTTCTGAGATATGAGCTGGGGATTTTCCATTGCATGTCAGAACACCATACGTGTAGTGGCCAGGATAGTCCTGATTGTTTTCATTTCTAATCCTGGGTATGTCTCCCTGATTAGTTCCAACTGGGACAGTAGTGTGTCTGATTCTGTTACCAGGCCCTGAAATCTGGACGGCATGAAAAACCTATGTTGTTAGCACAGTAGCTGGAAGTGGCAGCTTCAGGTTGTTCTTATCAGGACCTCTGTAATGTGTCATCAATAGCTGATTCTTCTGTCCGCAGGCAGAGATGGTACATACAGGTCTGAAGCTGGAGCGAGCTCTCCTGGTGACCGCCTCTCAGTGCCAGCAGCCAGCAGGTGTAAGTTGTGTCACTAGTTGGTTTGGTTTGGGTTTGATGCTTAGGACAAGTGGAGAGATTTCTGTGAAGCTAGCATAACATGCTTAAATAGACTTGCCAAGAAGATGTTCATACCAGCTCCCAGGGGTACAATCACACTCAGCTGCCTTAATGGGAATGTGCCACTGGATGTTTGTTGGTCTCTGTTGGCTATCTTTGTGTCATTTTGCTTAGACTGTAGTTACCCCTGGGACTGTGCTGTTTGTCTCAATAAACTCTTCTAGCCTCTTGGCTGGGCCCTAATTTATCATATCACCCCTTCAGCCTTTTCTATTACTGTGGGTGACTCTGGGAAGCTACTGTGGAGGCCCTATACCTCTACAGTACTACTTCTCCCCTCATTTTTCACTAGTTGAGGGCTTTCTGTTTAATTTCTAACTCAAAACCAAGCTACAAGATATAAAAAAATATAAGTAGAAATTTAGATTTTTCTCAAGTATTTTGATTGTTTTGTTTTTATTTCATTTTCCTAAGCATGGAGAAGTAATAGAGCAAGTTTTCCTGCTAACATTTATTAAAGCCATTCACCTTTGCCATTGCTAGGTAAAAAGAGTACAAGGCAATTTTTAGTATATTACATTGTAATCTTTAATCTACCTTGAGTGGATGAAGGGTTTTATTTGAATCTTTTGCTCAAACCCATGCTTTCTACATCAAATTGAATAGTGTAGACCCTGTTACATTTATCTTTTTTTTAGACCGGGGATTGACAGTCCACAACCTGAAGGCCAGATATGGCTCCCTGCCTATTTTTGTAAATGAAGAGTTTGGGGAACAAATATTTACTGTCTGGTCCTTCAGAAACAAAATGGGCAGACTCCTGTTTTAGAAAGTGTTCATACCATGACCTGAGAATTAATGTGGTCTGGAAACTGAGCTTTGGAGGAAAGATTAAAAACACAAACACAAAACCCATTCATTTTGCCAAGCTGCCTACCTGATTGCCAACTCCCCCAGTTGATACTTCAGCTCTCCACTCAGCAGCTGTGTACAGCTAACAAAAGAGGGCTAAGACAAAGCCTTGTCCTTGAGGAATTCATAAGTAATAGAAATATGGGTCCATTAATGGCTTTATGCTGACATATGTGATAAAGGGCCAAAATGACTGTGACCGTAATGAATGCTGTAGGAGACTGGTGGAGCTGGGGGTCAGAGGACGATTCCTCATGAAAACACCTGGATGGATGGAAAAGGAGACATCATGAGGAAAGGCACAGAAATGAGCTAGTTTCCTGTTAGCGGAACAGAGAAGAGACAGTGACTGAGATGGTGTGATTGGTGGTATGCCTAGGAGTTTAGGTCCTGAGCAGGAAGAACCACAGAATCTCACTCGAGGAGTGGGAAGTCTGGAGGTAAGGTGTTTGAGCAGGGTTCGGTGCTTATTTTAGTCAGTAACAAGACCAACACACACACCTTCACTGGAAAGATTCTAACTTGAATTTTCTCTTGTATTCCTCCCTAGAATAAGCTCTCTGATTTGTTGGCACCCATCTCAGAGCAGATCCAAGAAGTGATAACATTTCGGGAGAAAAACCGAGGTAGCAAATTGTTCAATCACCTGTCAGCTGTCAGCGAGAGCATCCAGGCCCTGGGTTGGGTGGCAATGGTGAGCGACACAGCCTCCAGGGGGGAGGAGGGAGCCTGAAGGGGCAACACGAATGTGGTGGTGAGGCGCTGAGTGACTGCTTCTGTCCTCCCCTAGGCTCCCAAGCCTGGCCCCTATGTGAAAGAAATGAATGATGCTGCCATGTTTTATACAAACCGAGTCCTCAAGGAATATAAAGATGTGTAAGTGAAATTCCAGAGCTTGTAGAACTGTATCATAAAAAAATACTAAAAAGTCAGGATATACTTAAATAGCAGAATGATGGACTTGTTTTTTAAATCAGTGGGGGGAGAGGAAATCACAGAACCTATGGAACTGAATCATTTTTTTTTTTAAAGTGTAAGTGTAGCCTTTTCTCAATGGGAAAGGATGAAACCAGCTAACTGCTACTGCCTGGAGTGGCACTTTGGGTTAAGTAAGACAGCGCTCAGCTTCTAGGCTCTTCTCCTGTCTCAGGGTGGCTTTCTGGAAAAACAATATAGAGGGTGACCCGGGAAGCTATATTTACAGGCAGGAAACGTCTCTGCAGCCACCTCTGCAATTTCTCCCCGGTTGGCAGAGGTCTGTTTTTTAGTCTTCCGGTTCTTACCATTCCAGATTGAAGAAGTTCAGTTGAAGGTTGTTTGTATTAATCCCTTTAACTTGTCTGTTTTTGCAAAATTCCGCTCCTCTCTTGAGAATTTCTCACTTTCCCCTGTCAGAAAGATTCAGTAGGACTTACTAAATTTCCTGTGACCCTCACCATCGGCCAGTCAGGTAGTGGGAGTAAAATCACCCACTAATAACTAGAACAGGAGTCAATAAGGAGTCAGTCATTCCATATCTAGACACATCCACCTGCCAGTCCTGACTTCTCCATTACTATTCTTGTGAGTTGGGGCAGCTGCAGGCAACAGTTGCTTAGTTGTATAGCTACCTAAACCTTTCCCCTCCGTCAGGCAGCCAGCATTTATTGAGTAACTCCTCTGTGCAGGGAGTCTCTGTATGCAAGTGAAATATGTTCCCAAGAACCAGGCATTTCTTTGCCCTCTCTAGCGACTTCAGGTTAAGCATCACCGTGTCCTTGAATAGCACCATCTTTTTTTTTTTTTTTTACTTTTTTAATTTTTACTTTTTTTTATTTGTGACAATCTTTACATAGTTAATTAGGGTAAAAAGGTTCAAGGGCTACAGGAAAGTGGGTAAGACTATCATTTCCACATTGTTTCCTTCTTGTATCTGAGGTAAAGGGGGATATTGAGGGAGAAGCCCCACCCAGTCTCCCACCCACCCCTGGTCCCGCATGTGGGGCATGCTCTGAGGGTCTTGCTCAAGTGGTTTTGATAGTTCAACAGTTATGAATTGCTGCCAATCTCGCCACTCCAAGCACGATGAGGTCGTTGAAGAATCCACTGATTGACATAGTCCATCTTAGAGTCTCTATTTGCCCAGGTTTTCACTGCCAACATATAGCTGAGGTGGTTGATTAACTCCTTCTGTCCTCTGTCTTTTCTTGGTTAGGGTTCTGAGTCCAACATTTCAATTGGGGAGATCCCCAAAGAAACTGTTTGAGGTGTTCCCAGACCAGATTCTTGTATGTACTAGCAAGTACAGGCCCCAGCACAGTCCATTGCCCTAATCAGCTGGTGGTTGCAATTGCTGGGTTGGTTCTGTTTCCAGTTCGGAATTCCACTGGAACCAATGGGTGTTGCAGTCCAGCCTGGTTCTGCCCAGAACATACTTGGCCCTCGCATAAACAAGTGGGAGCTACAGTCTAGTCAGAGTGACCCACAATAACCCCCACCAGGCCCGCCCCCTACCCTGGTTTGCCAGTATGTGTAGCAGTAATCCAGTCTGTCCCACGCCCCATTTGGCTCTCGTACATGTCAATAGGTATTAAAGCCTGGTTCCATCTAACCAGCTCAATTATCCAGCTCTCACAGATGTTGTCAAGTGCCTCTCTGTCTAGCCACCCCAGCCCCTGTCCTAGTTTTCGTGCCCTCCCATGGGAGTGGTAACCCAAGAGAGAGGAGCCCACTAATTCCCTCCCAAGCCACTCCCACTCGTGGATTATCCACTCTCCAGGTGGTTCTGTGGTTTAATTTGACAGAATTAGCCCCCATTACCAGCTTCTGCCAGCTGATGCTGCAGGTTAGCCCAACCCACCCTCACCCACTCTAATTTTAGTTTGCACCAGTAGGAACAATCAACCCAGCCTGATTTTTCCCTCATGTAGTCCACGTGAGGCCCACAGGTTAGCACCATCATTTTACAGTAGCCGAAACTCACTCTTAGGCTAATAACCTTAAAACCCTCCAGCTAATAGAGAAGGAAATTTGAATCATGGTGTAGTGCTGTTTCTGTAATTAGTGATTATTTCCCTTAAATGGACATTTTCAAGTTATAAGGGCAAGGTGGGCTTATTTGGACAGAAGGTCATGTCTGAGGCCCTTGACAAATTTCACATGGACACCTTGTGAGAAGTCTATACAACAGCTTGATATGCAGAATGTCTGATTAAGTAAAATTATTTTCGTCCTTAAGAATAGTTTGAGAAACACTGCTACAATAGAAGTAGTCCAGTGTCGTTGTGCTAATGGAGTTTGGTCTAGCTGATGTAATAGGATAGACCTTTTACAAAAAGCTCAGTGATGATAGAAAAGCTGCTGTTGACCAAAGCTTAAGAAAGGCACAAGCCAGAGTGTGTGGCTGGAGGGCTTCTGCATTTGCTGTCATAAATCACATGTCTGCTGTGACAAGTTCCATGTATCTTCCCCCAGGGATAAGAAGCATGTGGACTGGGTCAAAGCTTACTTGAGTATATGGACGGAGCTGCAGGCTTACATTAAGGAGTTCCATACCACCGGCCTGGCCTGGAGCAAAACTGTGAGTGGGTCCTCCCACCTGCTTTCCCCTTTTATCCATGACAGCGGCATAGGTTTCTTTACTACCACAAAGAAGGGATGCTGGGTTTTCTTAGTGAAGGGAAAAGGAGAGAGGAAATAAATCATCGATGTCAAGATTAATCGTCTGTGTTGTCAAGAAGGGGACAGAAAAGCCTAGGAAGCAAAATAGGCTGAGACTATGTGAACCAAGGGAGTGCTACTGATAGAATCTGTCCTGAACAGAATCTCAGTCTAGAGGCTGAGGGGGAAGGACTGCTGCCCAAACCCTGGACGTGACTGTGGGCTGGCTATAGACAGAAAAGAAGGTAGGAGATCATCACCAAAGTAATAGAAGGAGTGTACAAAGTTGGAGCAGCTGAAAGCCTCAAAGATGAAATACTCAAGCCTGGGTGCTAATGCCTTTCACAGAAATAGAAATAAGGAGGTGATTATCAGATAGGGGAGCATGCAGGAAATGGCGAAATCATTTTTGAGTTTGTTGAGTCTGAGGTACCAGTAATAGAGCAAGGAAGATGTCAAGTATTGCGGAATTCAGGCTTACAGCTGCAGTCAGGTAAGGGCACACAAAAAGAGGGATGTTGAGAATTGGATCCCTGGAAAAAAATGAGAATAAAGCCAGGTTGAACGTGGGTAAGAAGCATTAAGCACTGCCTTCATGAGGACCCCAGGTATGGCTGGACACTTATAGGGTTCCACTGGGAAGGGCACAGAGAAGAGAAAGCATGACTGTATTGCCTGTACTTACTGTTCCAGGGGCCTGTGGCAAAAGAACTGAGTGGACTGCCATCGGGACCCTCTGCTGGATCAGGCCCTCCTCCCCCACCGCCTGGCCCTCCTCCCCCACCAGTCCCTACTAGTTCAGGCGCTGATGATTCTGCCTCCCGCTCAGCACTGTTTGCGCAGATTAATCAGGGAGAGAGCATCACACATGGTGAGTCCTCTGTCCTGAACTGTTGACAGCACAAGTTACTTGAGTAGACTTCCCCAGCCAGAGACACAAACAGCTAGTATAAACCAGTCTTGGAGAGAATTCATTTGCATGTCAGGTCCCTTCAGGTTGCCCAGAGGGACAGCAAAATTGGCTGACCTGGACATTGAGTACAACTGGGGGAACCCATCTGTCCCATGAGATAGTGACTTAGGTGCTATATACACTGTACCAAGGCACAGAACTGACAGTTGTCTCCATGGACTTTGGCAAGTCATTGTGTCACGGGGTTTACTTCCTTAGAAGACAAATAAGCAGTCACATAGAAAACTTGCCTGAGAATAAGCTAAAATTGTTACAGAGAAAGTGAACACCATTCTCTGCAGCTGGTGCAAGTACTCTGCAGGGTGTCTATCCATACAGGCATCTAAGAGTTTTAGACATTGTTGTAGTAGCTGTACATGGTATAATCACCTTAATGTCCAACAGTGAGGGAGATTGGAAGTTGTTGATGGTATGTCCTCTTAATGGCAGCCATTTGTACTTTTTTTTCTACAATGACCCATATAGCCTTAAAAATAAAATCTAGCATTTTAAGTACGGGCACATAGGTGGTAGAACTAAAGAGGCCACATGGTGTTGGTTATGCAGTAAACAGATTTGATGGTGTTCAGGAGTGAGGTGTGTGCGAGCCTGCTGAAGGAAATGATGGGATCTTTTCCCTTAAAATGCACAAGAAATAACTTGAGAAACTAGGTTAACATGACAATGTTTTTATCTAGTGTTAATTGGTTGGGCCAAATTTCTTGGCATAGTATATGGTTACGACTGAATAAAACTAAAAACAAGCATTAAGAGACTGAAATGCCGGCACTGACTGCGGGAGGGTTTGCTGTGCATGATACTTCCTGTTATTTTTCTTTCCTATCACATTTTTCCCCTCTCCTATTGCTTTAAAAACGTCACATATTTTGTGAGTATATATTTGGCAGATGTCTTTTTCAGATCTTTCTCTGTGCATTTACATATCCATTCTATCCTTGACCTCAAATACATTTTTCATATTTTCCTTTTTAAATGGAAGCACCTAATTGGACCTTGGGGGAGGAAATTATATAAGTACTTCTGCAACACAGCATCTCAAAGGTGCTGGCTTTGGGCTCTGAATTTTCTGCTAGGTGTTTATCCCCTGACACAGAGGGGGATCCGTTACTGCCTCAGCCCAGAGCCCGGGTACGAAGGACAGGAGCGAGGCAGCTGTTGCTTTTGCAGCCCTGAAACACGTGTCTGATGATATGAAGACTCACAAGAACCCTGCCCTGAAGGCTCAGAGTGGTCCAGTGCGCAGTGGCCCCAAACCATTCTCTGCGCCTAAACCCCAAACCAGCCCATCCTCCAAGCCAGCCACAAAGAAAGAGCCAGCTGTACTTGAACTGGAGGGCAAGAAATGGAGAGTGGTGAGTTAACATACCCAGGTCGGGGGAACGAGGAGTCAAGGAGGCGAGGGGTTTACATAGAGCTCAAATGAGTGCAGAGTTGTGACTCAGATTATTAAGATGTCTGGGGAAGCCTATTACTTTAGTTGACATGTGTTTGGTCATGAGTATCCCGGGGTGTCTCTTTAAACAGGAAAATCAAGAGAATGTTTCTAACCTGGTGATTGAGGACACAGAGCTGAAACAGGTGGCTTACATATACAAGTGTGTCAACACAACATTGCAAATCAAGGGCAAGATTAACTCCATTACAGTAGGTGAGTCTTTGTGGCTGCTGGGCAAACTCTGCCCTAGAACCAGAGAGCACTAGAATTATTTTATCCCTCCTCTTCCTAAAGATTCTGAAACATACTGCCTTTATACTGTTGACCTGCTTGCTGCCTCTCTTCTCCTAGATAACTGTAAGAAACTCGGGCTGGTGTTCGATGACGTGGTGGGCATTGTGGAGATCATCAACAGTAGGGATGTTAAAGTTCAGGTAACTTGATATCTTGGCTCTGTCTTTCAATCCCTGGGGAACTAATTGAAAGCAACACAACCGACCCACAGATGCCGCTTTGGTGGGAATCCGATTCTACAAGGTTCTACAAAGCATGTAAGCTGAGCTGCTCTGGATGCAGCAGAGAGCTGGCTCTTCAAGGGAGCTCTGCATAGCGCCCATCCCTGCCCAGCCCCTGGTATCCAGTATCTGTCAAGCATCTGGGCACTTGTCCTGTAGTTGTTGAGTCACGGGAACCTGTGAGAGCCTTCCCTGCAACTTAACCACTGTCCGCTCCACCAGCTGCTGGGACTCAGTTCTCTTGGTTTTCTCTGCAGGTAATGGGTAAAGTGCCAACCATTTCCATCAACAAAACAGATGGCTGCCACACTTACCTGAGCAAGAATTCCCTGGACTGTGAGATCGTCAGTGCCAAATCATCGGAGATGAACATCCTCATTCCTACAGAAGGCGGGGACTTCGTAAGTTTCTCTGTAGTAGTTTGGTATTCAAACCAGAAAGAGATGGAAGGCTGCATTAGAAAACATTGTTTGAGGGACACTTTGCACTGTGAAGTTTAAATCCACCAGGACACACCAAAAGCTCGCAGAAATGGAGTCATGTCCCATGGTGGAGTTCCAAAGGAGGTGGCTTTGGCCTTTCTTACCTTGACCAGAGGGTAGAAATAGTCCGGGCGCCCTGTTGAGCAGGGGCTGCGTTTTCACGTACAGTCAGTGCAAGGTGCCCGAACACCAAGCAGCGACTAGCTGTATACTCCCTGCCTCCTGTCTGTCCCACGACTTCCTCCCTGGCTCTCAGGGGTAAGTGGAAGCACTGGCAGCAAAGTGTGGACTTTGGCCGCAGTTCCTTCTCTAGCCCTGACTCAGATCCACCCTGTCTTCTCTGTTTGCAGAATGAGTTCCCAGTCCCAGAGCAGTTCAAGACCATTTGGAACGGCCAGAAGTTGGTCACCACAGTGACAGAAATTGCCGGTTAAGTGAAGTGCCACTGGGTCTTTGCCCTCTCCCCGCACACCATGGGATAACTCTGTATCAAGACGGTTCTTTTCTAGATTTCCTCCGCCTTTCTGCTCTTACACTGCTTCTCTGCTGAGAAGCAGAGCTACCTGCCTCCACTGAAGCATACCTCAGGCTGAGATCCGGGGTAGGGTAGCAGGGCAGTCGATCTCCTGCGGACGGGGCAGCTGCTTCTCTCAGCGCAGCCACTCCGCCGAGCCTTTCCCGAGGAACCGCACACAGCACTGGTACAGCTCTGCTGTCAGCTTTTGGGGTCATTCGACCAATGACGGTCCTTTGGGAAGGACAGTCCCAGGAATTAGACTAGAATATTCATAAATATTCTAAATATTCATAAAATAGCGAGCCTTTTTTCCTAACCACAAGCATACAGGTAGCAGAAGCCGTTGATTCCAGACAGTTCTTCTAACCAAGTTAATCTTTCACTGTTGACAAGTGAGGCAAGGGTGGCACTGGAGCACAGGCTGGGACCCGGCCATCCAGCATTCCAAGCAAAACTGTTTCCTGTAAGCATTCCCTTTAACCTGCATTCCATTCTAAGTCCACCTCAGCCACGGGACAGTGGGTTCTCAGTATCAGCTGAGGGCACCTGGACCCTTACTTTCTCTGGGATCCCTGCCCTGCACCTTCCTACAGATGATCTTTAAAAAGAAAAGAAAAAGACCACCACACCATTCCAAGGAACATGGCATTCTTCCCTCCCCACTAAGTGTCACCTGCCTTCACTGCCTCGTTTGCCTGCCATACTCAACAGTGTGTGGCTACTGTCTGGGCCCCTGAGCAGAGGACTCGGGCTTCCACTGCAGGCCAGCTCTGAGTCTGGGTGTGCGTAAGGATCTTGCACAGCTTTTCTAATGCAGATTTCAGTTTTTCTCTCCAGAACAAACACTTACCAAAATATGCAACATTTTTTTTGGTGGGAAGAGAGATTGCCCTGTGACTTCTACCCATTTCCTGAGGCCTGTGGAAATAAACCTTTATGTACTTAAAGTTATACAGAAAATAGAATAAAGTTAATACCAAACTTGCTTTCCTATGATATCTGCTGTAAAGATATATAAAAATATTGGGGGGGAAAAATGACACCAGGAATAAGACTATTTTTTATTTTAGACAACCTCATAAATTTTCATATCCTTCCACTTCTTGCCGTTATCTTCATCACTGTGAAGAAGGCCCTAAGGGGTGGGGGGAGTCCCACAGGGTAAGCCCTGCAGTACTGGCAGGTGCTGCTTCAGAGCGGAGCTATGTGTTTCTCTAAACAGAACTCCTCAGTGTTGCTCAGTTTCTGCACAGTGCAGCCTAGGATCCCCAGGCTCGAGTGGTGTGAGAAACACAGGCCAGTGTCAGTTTTCTCTAACAGAACTTCTCTCATGTGGGCTAGCCTCAGCCGAGAAAGGGATTGCCCTGCTGTCCAGCTTTGTGACTACAGAGCCCTTCTCTGACAGCTCGGGAGTGCGCTGGGCAATGCCATCTCGGCTCCCTGGCGGTGGGTCAGAGGTTACACAGAAGGAACTCGTCCTGTTGTTCCTCCCGTTCTCGGAGGAAGCCAGGGCATCCGGAACACAAGTCCACAGGGCAGGGCAGGTTAGTCAGGCATGGCGGGGCAAGAACCAGCTGCCTCAGTTTAACCTTCAGTCCGTGCTTTCTTTGTGCACAGCCCCCTTCCCATCTTAGGTGAGGCAAGAAGTACACTTCCTCTTTTAAGCAACCCAAATGGGTGTTGCTTCCATGCTTTTGCAACAGAGCAGCTAATTTCTGCCTGAGGAGACAAAGGGAGTACTGCAGAAGCAAGCTGCTGGATGGAGGGAGTTTGTCTAGCCTTACCACATGATGCAAAAACATTATCTAGGCACTAGCCTACCAGCAGAACTGAAAAAGCATCTGTGGCGTGTGGGTGCTCTGGCCTGGGTACCAGCTTTTGCTTTGTATGAAGCTTGGTAAGACTCTACTGATAAAGGATGTTTGCCCTCACAGTCTGTCTCCGGGGATAGAGTGGGCTCAGTGTCAGCATCAGCACTGAGCTATAGCGCAACTCCCTTTCAAGACAGCCTGAACACATCAAGACGGTTGTAAAGCAATCCCCATGGTTATTAACTAATGAAACCTTCATTCAACACCATATGGTGATAGGAGGCCACAAAGGATAAGGTTCGCATCTTGATCTTTCCAAGCAGGGCACATTGGAAGACAGGTGAGAAGGGTTAGTTGCAAGCAGGCTCTGAGCTCAGATGTGAAGGGAACTCCCCCAGGTGGTCTGGAAGAGCCAGGGATGCCAGAGCTCAGCAGCGGTTTCACTCAAGGAAGGGTATGATGTGAGCATAAAACCATTCTTCAGATAGTTGGAGATGGTCCCCTTCAGTAGCCAGAAACACCAGCTTTCCAGCCTTGTCCATTTGCTTTAGCCCCAGGCGGTCCTGCAGAGAAAGACCATAAGTTTAATGAAAAGTTTTACAAACAGTAAAATTAACATCATGTGACATCGAGCTATATTTTCAAAGTATAATTTTTTCTCCTTAGTATTAAAACTGAAATGTATTGTTGGAAATGCCAGAAAGGATACCTCTTTCCAAGTTTTTCTTCCTAAGTATTAAGAAATGTGAATGCAAATAGATTGTTCTCAAAGATGGGAGTGTCAGGTAACTCAACACGTCCAGCACTCGGATAACGAGCCCTGAGCTTGAAGCATCCTGTGGTCATGAAGATGAGCAGGCGCGGCAGCGCCAGAGAGCCACTCCTGCCCTGGCTGCCACTGGCTTGAGTTACAGAGTCAGGAAGTTCTAAGTTAGAATTTCGCCACTCTTTATCAGACCCTAGCTTCCCTTTCTCTTTACCTTACCCAACCTGAGAGCAAATGAAAAGAGACAGTCTTTGAAAATATTTGGGAAGAGGGGCCCGGCATGGTAGCCTATCAGCTAAAATCCTTACCTCTTACACATTGGGATCCCATATAGGAGCCGGTTCTAATCCCGGCAGCCCTGCTCCCCATCCAGCTCCCTGAATGTGGCCTGGGAAGGCAGTTGAGAATGGCCCAAAACCTTTGAACTCTGCACCCATGTGGGAGACCCAGAAGAGTCTCCTGGCTCCTGCCTTCAGATTGACTCAGCTCTGGCCATTGTGGTCACTTGGGGAGTGAATCAGCAGACAGATGATCTTTGTATATCTGACTTTCCAATAAAAATAAACAAATCTTAAAAAAAAAAAAAGAAAGAAAGAAAAGAGGGCCCGGCATAGCATAGTGGTTAAAGTCCTCGCCTTGCACGTGCTGGGATCCCATATGGACGCTGGTTCTAATCCCGGCCACCCCGCTTCCTGTCCAGCTCTTTGCTTGTGTCCTGAGAAAGCAGTTGAGGACAGCCCAAAGCCTTGGGACCCTGCACCTATGTGGGAGCCCCGGAAGAGCTCCTGGCTCCTGACTTCAGATTGGCTCAGCTCCAGCCATTGCGGTCACTTGAGGAGTGAACCATCGGATGGAAGATCTTCCTCTCTGTCTCTCCTCCTCTCTATATATCTACCTTTTCAATAAAAATAAATAAATCTTTAAAAGAAAAAAAAAATACTTGAAAAGGTTATTATAAGTTGGGTATGCCTTACCCAGAAGCCTGGGGCCTCATATGTCTGCAGTATTTGCTGACACATAGATATCTCAGGGATGGGACTTAAGCCTAAACAAAATCTGCATTCTTCAAATACACCTTGTACACAGCCTAAAGCTCACTTTACACTTGTTCTTAGCCAAAACATCAAGAAGCAACTGAAGAAATGTTTACCAAAATATTTTGAGTGTGCCTGTGTTCTGACTACAGCTGATCATATGGGCTCAGGTGTGGCATTCTCCACTGGAAACATCATGTGGGCACCTAAGGAGTTCTGGATTTTGGAGCAGTTTGAATTTCATATTTTGGATGGTCACCAAGGAGAAGGTGATTGATTCAGATGTAACCCCATGTGCCTTTGAGGGTGTCTTCAGTAGAAATTCCTTAAAGTGTAGAAGGTCCTAGAATTGAGGGTGGTGAAATAGGGCAACTCTGCTTGAGAGACAAGACTTGATGCTAAACAGAACTGACAGCTCCAGTCCATTCACCTAATGCCGGGGCTCTCATAACCTTTGCTTTGTTTTCATTACACACAGGGGTTTCTTGAATCTATAGCAGACTTCACCTGGGCAAAGGAAGCCAGTTCCAAACCTTTCCATCAAATGCTGCTTTTCTAGTTTATGCTGAAAACTGAGGTACAGTACCTTCAAGCTGTAGAGGTCCCTATAAAATGGCACCATATCGGGCACATCTGCCACAAGAGAACCTAGCGGCCTACACCTGGCAGCTTCGAGAAGTTGGGCGGGGATGAGAACACACCAAGCCCCCAGGACCCAGCTCTGCAGTTACCTGTGTGTACAGGGTGGTCTCTTGTAAGGGAATGGTTTCCTTGGCCTGCCCACTTCTATAAAAGCCGAACCACTGCAGGAAAGGAAAAAAAGTCACATCAGAAGGTCACCACCAAACTACTGGCAATTGGCTAAGTCACTAAGACCACTAACAAACTATCATGAAACCACAGCAGCACGGCAAGCTGCAAAGGGTAGCCCTTGGGTCCCTTCCTGTTCAAGGACAGCAGCTCTGCCCTTCCCCGGGCTTTCTGCCATCTGTGTGTACGGCAGGCCTACCCTGTGAAAAGCCCTGAGCTAAAACCTAGACATTCAAGGATGAAGAGTGGGCCCTCTTGCCAAGAAGCTCCCAGTCTAGTGAGGCACAGAAACGGCTCATGGTGTAGGATGGGAGTCTGCAAGCTTTGTGTACATAGCACATACAACTTGAGGGGGTTCTGATGGCCATGTGGTCACAACAACTCTGCTGCCACTGCAAGCAACATGGCTGTTTCTGAGGAACCTCACAGACACACAAATAGGAATTTAAATAATTTTCACATGTCAAAAATTATTTGACTTTTTCCCAACCATTTAAACATGGTCGATTCTGGGGTTGTATCAGGCATCAGCTTGGTCAGCTGTGCCACCACCTTGTCCCTGAAATAATTTTTAAAAAGTTGTGCATGAGGGGCCAGCACTGTGGCACAGCCAATCTCTCTCTCTCTCTCATTTGCTGAAACTCTGATTTTAAAAATAAATACATCTTTTAAAGAAAAAGTGTGCAAGAATTCAACAATGAAATCCCCAAAATACTGCAAAGAGAAATTAAAATTTTAAATAAATTGAAAAATGTTCCCTTCCCCCAACCAAGCATTTAGAAATGTAAAAATTCTTAGCTCATGGGCCATGGGCCATCCCAAAATGTGGCAGACTAAAAACAAAGCAGGGATGGTGTTATGGCACAGCAAGCTAGGCTAAGCTGCTTCCTGCAGGGCTGGCATCCCCTATGGGCACTGGTTCCAATGCTGCTGTTCCACTTTGATCGAGCTGCCTGCTAATATACCTGGGAACGCAGCAGATGCCCCCGCCAATCACTGGGTCCCTGCACCCAAGAAGGGAAATCTAGAAGCAGCTCCTGGCTTCCACCAGCCCAACCCCAGCTACTGACATCATCTGGGGAGTGAACCAATAGGTGGAAGCCTCTGCTTCTCTATCTACTTTTCAAACAGTTTTTTTTTTTCCTTAAGATTTATTTATTTGAAAGCTCATACAAGATGCTGGCACTGTGATGACTTTACTGCTATGCCATGACACTATCTCCCCGAGTAAATCTTAATGAAGAAACTAATGGGGCAAGAGCAAGCATTGTTGTGTAACATATTAAGCCACAACCTGAGACATCTGAGTCCCTTATCTGAGTGTCTGGTTCGAGTCCTGGCTACTCTGCACTTCAGACCAAGGTGCCTGCTAATACATGGTCACAGGCAGCAGACAATAGCCCAACGACTTGGGTTCCTGCCTGCCATGTGGGGTAAAGGAGTGGCTTCACCCTGAGCCAGCTCTGGCTCTTTCTCTCTCCACCTGTACCTCTGTATTTCAAATAAATTTTAAAAGTCTTCAAAAAAAATCTGATTACAATTGTGGGCTCTTTCCACCCACCACCACCAAAAATGCAATTATGTAACTATACATGCAGTTTTGGGGGATGGAGAGTAGAACTGGGAGGGTATAGCCAACTGAGTGTCCCGATGATGGATCTCAAAGAACCAGCTCTACGCAAAGTGATCGGAGGGTTTTTGTCCCAGCAGCCAGCTGTGGTTCAGCTCCTGTCCCCCTCTGCAGTGTCCTGGCCCTAAGGCCAGTGACTCACCTCAGATTCTACAGGGTCCACAACGGAGTCATTGAGGAATTTCACCATCACGAACTTGTTCAGGGCCATCAGGTTTTTCTTGTAGGACTCGTTGACCCCCTGGAAGAAAGGCCGTGGAGGCTCAGGATCACAGCACGGGGTTGGGAGCCTCACAGCACTCTCAGGCCAGCTGTAGGCCGCCATGTTGCTTCCCCTGGCATTCCCGCCCACAGAGTGCCTCACTCAACTTTCCCTTCCCTTCCTATCAGGCTGATGTGCCACCCACCCTGGCACACAGGTACGACCATCACCCCATTCCATAGGCTTCCAGCCACAGGACACTATGGCAAAATAAGAACTTGTGTACTCTGTCATCCTAGTCTGTGTTCTCCATTTGTTTTCCCCTTCAAAATTTTTGTTTGAACACAAAAAGAACCTTCTAGATGAGCCTACTGCAAGTGGAGCAACAGAGTTTAATGAGGCCTCGCACCCAGGCTCGTGGCCAGACCACGTTCAGTGAGTGTCCTTTGTGGTCTGTCTTCTCTGAGAAAACCCCACAGGGCTTCCCCCATGTAAGACAGCAGCTGTGAGTCCCAAGGCTCACCCCCAACCTGCCAGCATATGCAGATGAGGCAGAGCAAGGAAGGGGTCGGACAGAAGGGCAGGTGGCCAGGCAAGCGCCAGCCTCCCCACAGAGACCGAGTCTCATAAGCCCTGCCTTGTAACAACAGAACTTCATGTACTGGGTGCTGCCTGGCACAGCCGAGGCACGCAGTCCCCACCAACCTGTTCCCCATTCCCAGGGCAGAAAAACAAACACACAGTACTGAGCGTGGGGCCGGAGGCTTACCCTCTCCTGATTGATGTCTGCCAAGAAGACACTGTGGTTGCGGTACACGTCCTCCTTGATGGGGTCATGCCAATATTCTGCCTGCACCAGGCTGCACAGGGAGAAAGAGGTGACCAGGCCATAGGTGAGTCGGCAGTGAGCAGGTCACCTTGTAAAGGGCCAAAGCCACAGCCCTCAGGCCTGGGCTTTGCAAACTAACAGGGAAGACAGGGGCCTGTGAAACAGCTCATCAGCAAGGTAGTGTGTGAAGACATGGACAGGCTGGTCAGCATGGTGCAAAAAGCCTGAGAGAGACAGAGGGCTCCCTGGCACCTGCTTCCACTGTGGTATGCAGCCTTGTTTCACTTCTTGCATTCTGGTGCATCATGGCCACAACCCAGGTGCCCTCACTCCCCTTTGCTTCCTACTCATCCTGCAGCACTCGGCTAGAACCTCACCTCTGCCTCTGTCGCTCCATCCGGTCATCTGTCCCTACGGTCATTTTGCCAAGGAAGCTGACCTTCTCACCCACAAAGCACTCACCCCCGCATGGAGCGGTGACACCAGTTTGCAGAATCCTGGCATGTGACACTGTGCTCCAGAACAAAGGGCGGATGTGTGGCTGCTACAATAGCAGTTAGGACAGACAGATGCGGCTCCGCCCCTGGCTTCATGGCAACTTTCTCTCCAGTCTCCTTTTCCCTTTCCCTTCCGGTCCCATCCTTCACCATCACAGAAACTGACCCCCTGACCACTGGCCTCTGGAAGGAAGGGAAGACAGAGCATGGGGGCGGGACAAGTGGGAAAGGACAGGTCTGGAGGCCCAGCTCCCCAACCACAGGCCACACATGGTGACAGGGCCGCCGCCACCTGCCTGTTCAGCCAGCATGGCTCTGACAGGTGCTAACACAATGCCAACATAGCACACCGCATGTACCAACATGGACACCTGCTCAGTCCTCTGGAGCCTCCACCCAGGAGGTGTCGCCATGGGCCTCACATTGACAGCCAGGGAGATCAAGCAGTATACCATGGTCCCATTGTGCTCCAGAGCCAGCGCATGGGGACAGACGGCATTGCACTGCCACCAGGCTGTCATCTTCGCTCTGCTTGTGCAATGATGTGAGCAGAACCAGTTTTAAGTCAAACAAACCTGGGTTTGCGATCACAGCCACACAATCCCCCCAGAGCCTGTACTGTAAACATTAAACAAGACAAGTCAAGCTGCCATGCTGGGTGCACATGGGGTACACACTCAACCTCCGACGGCAACTCCACAGTCCCCCTCCTGTGCCTCTTGAGTGCGGGTACCCATGTGGTGTGGTATGAATGGGAAAATGCTGCCTGGCTTGAGAGAGAGGAGAGAGCCCCCTCAGGCAGAGCCACAATGCATAAGCAGGTGCAAGGGATATCAACCCCTCCAAAGACACTCCACTAGACATTTCAAGGGGATTTTTGATGGGATTTACAAAACTAATTCTAGGGGCCAGTGCTATGGCATAGTAAGCTAAGCATCCACCTGTGGTGATGGCATCCCATATTGGCACCAGTTCTAGTCCCAGCTGCTCCACTTCTGATTCAGCTCCCTGCTTGTAGACTGGGAAAGCAGCAGAGGTTGGCCCAAGTGCTTGGGCCTCTGCACTCTCCCGTGAGAGACCCAGAAGAAGCTCCTGGCTCCTGGCTTCACATCAATTTAGTGTCGGCTCTTGTAGCCATTTGGAAAGTGAATCAGCAGATAGAGCTCTCTGTCTCTCCTTCTTTTTATAACTCTGCCTTTCAAATAAAAAAAAATTAAGACTTTTAAAATTTATTTTTACTGGAAAGGCAGATATACAGCGAGAAGCAGAGACAGGGAGGAAGTTCTTCCGTCCGATGATTTGTTCCCCAAGTGACCACAATGGCCGGTGCTGCGCCTATCTGAAGCCAGGAGCCAGGAAGTTCCTCCAGGTCTCCCACACGGGTGCAGGGTCCCAAGGCTTTGGGCCATCCTCAACTGCTTTCCCAGGCCACAAGCAGGGAGCTGGATGGGAAGCAGGACTGCCGGTGCGTTCAAGGCAAGGACCTTAACCGCTATGCTATCACCCCGGGCCCTCAAATAAAAAATTTTTAAATGATCTTAAAACAAAAAAGTAATTGTAAAATTCATATGAGACTGTAAAAGTCCATGAAGAGTCATGACTTGGAAGTTTCCATAGTAACAAGAACACTTTAGGAACAGGGATAGAGACAGACAAAGCAATTGAATGGAAAGACCCAGAAAGATACTCCAACACAGGAAACCCCCAGACAGATGAAAAGCATGAGAATGCAATTTGGAACCTGAAGAAAACTATAGGAAAATACAGACAGGGGACCAGCTTTATGCAACAAGCATCAGGACTGGTGTAAGTTTGAATGAACCTGGATTAAAGGCTAGTGTGCTGGATGGCAGTTACACATTACACACAATTACACATTACACACAATGTGACTGGAACTAATGTCACTGATTGGTACAATTTGGAATGCTTTAAATGCAAAATCTGGGGCAGGTGTGAAGACCGCACGTAGGGCACCTGCATCCCATGCTGGAGTGTTAAGGTTTGTGTCCTAATTACAACTTCCTGCTGTGCACATCCTGGAAGGTGGCAGGTGGTGGCTCAATTAGTTGGTTTCCTTATCACACCTGGAAAAAGCCTGGATTGAATTCCAGGTCCCTGGCCTCAGTCTGGATGAGCTCTGGTTGTTATGGCATTTGGGAAGTGAATCAACAGATGAAAAATCTCCTTCTCTCTGTCATTCTACCTTTCAAATACATAAATAAGTCTTTTTTTTTTTTTTAAAGCCACGGGCCTGGCGGCATGGTCTAGTGGCTAAAGTCCTCGCCTTGAACGCGCAGGGATCCCATATGGGCGCCGGTTCTAAACCCGGCAGCTCCACTTCCTATCCAGCTCCCTGCTTGTGGCCTGGGAAAGCAGTCAAAGATGGCCCGATGCTTTGGGACCCTGCACCTGTGTGACAGACCTGGAAAGAAGCTCCTGGTACCCAGCCTCGGATCGGCGCAGCATCGGCCAGTGTGGTCATTTGGGTATTCAATAATCGGATGGAAGATCTTCCTCTCTGTCTCTCCTCCTCTCTGTATATCTGACTTTGTAATAAAAATAAATAAATCTTAAAAAAAAATTTTTTTTTTAATTTTTTAAAAAGCCCCAAGTGAGAGATAAGTGTATGGTGCAGTAGGTAAGTCAGTGCACAGGAAGCTCACATCCCATACTAGAAAGCCTGGTTCAAGGCCTGGCTCCTCCAATTCCAGCTTCTTGCTCACGTGTGCTTTGGGAGGCACCAGTTGATGGACCAAGTACTTGAGAACCTGCCACTCAGCCAGGAGACCCGCCGTGAGTCCCAGGTTCCTGGCTCCAGCCTGGCCAGTGATGGCTGCAGTGGGCATTTGGAGAATAAACCAATACATGGACGATCTCTCTGCCTCTGTATCTCTGCTTTTCAAATCAAGAGAAAATAAGTCAATTTCAAAATATACGTGTACGTGTGGAACACAGACCAATGAGGAAAAGACAAAGAACCCAAGAGATAAATGGGCAAAGGCTATAAACAGACAATTCCAGAAAGGGAAACCCCTAGTGGCCAATAAACATGAAGGCCACACAGTCAGGAAGGGGAACCATTCCACACGCCTCTGACTGGCACAGCTTTAAAAGGCCCAGGATCAAAGGTTAGCAAGAACGGCGCAAACAGGAACTCTCACACCCTGTCGGTGGGAATATAAACTTGGGATAACTACTTTGGCAACACCGAATAAAGTTTAAAATGCACATTCGAGGGATCTTCAAAAGTTCATGGGAAATGAGTAATATGAAAACACTATGTATAGACTTCAGGGTTGTTTTTTTTTTAACTAAAATAAACACCTTTGAATTCCCTCTTTGCATGAACTCCTGGAGGTGCCTGGGCACTCCTGAGTATTGTACTGCTCACAGCTAACGTGGCTGAGAGTGTTTCTCAAGTAATGTTCTCATCGCTCCATGGTCAGAGCTCATTTCTCGCTGCATCCCATAGCGCCATAACCACTGCCCTACTGTGCCGATGGAAAGGAGCTGGTTCAGAAACTAATTAACTGTTGGCGATGTGGATTCTACTCACACTTGTTTTCTTACGCAGACACCCTGTTCAGGTTAACTGTTGTCTTGCGAAACTGGGAATCAGCACGCTGTGGTGTAGCCACATCACTGAATGCCACACAGCAGCTAACATGAAAGAACGCATGTGCAAAAATAGACTCCAATCCCAAAGGCATAATATCAAGTGAGAAATAAACTTCAGAAAGGCTTGTACAATAAGATACCCATAATGTGGGCCTGGCGGCTAAAGTCCTCGCCTTGAACATGCCAGGATCCCATATGGGTGCCAGTTCTAATCCCGGCAGCTCCACTTCCCATCCAGCTCCCTGCTTGTGGCCTGGGAAAGCAGTTGAGGACAGCCCAAAGCCTTGGGACCCTGCACCCACGTGGGAGACCTGGAAGAGCTTCCTGGTTCCTGGCTTCGGATTGGTGCAGCACCGGCCATGGCACTCACTTGGAGAGTGAATCATCGGACAGAAGAGCTTCCTCTCTGTCTCTCCTCCTCTCTGTATATCTGACTTTGTAATGAAAATAAAAATAAATCTTGGAAAAAAAAAACTTTAAAAAGATACCCATAATGTGAAAATTTAAACATACAGGGACCTGGTTCAATGGCTCAATTGGTTGATCCTCCCCATGCTTGTGCAGGCATCCCACATGGGCACGCTTGTGTCCTAGCTGTTCCACTTTCTATCCAGTTTCTTGCTTGTGGCTGGAAAAGATGGCCCAGAAGTCTTGGGACTCTGCACCTGCGTGGGAAACTCAGAGGAGGCTCCTGGCTTCAGATTGGCTTGGATCCAGCCTTTGTGGTCATTTGGGGAGTGAGCCAACAGATGGGAGATCTTTCTCTCTGTCTCTCCTTCTCTCTGTAAATTTGCCTTTCCAGTAAGAATAAATCTCAAAAAAAAACAAAAAAAGAAAGAAAATTTAAACACACAACTTAACACTATAAATGTCCACATATGTGTATATATATGTCTATATATGATAATTCCTA